ATTAGTACTATTAATAAAAGAATGTTTTTAACTCCGTATGTGGGACAACATGGAAACAAAACTAAGATTTTTTAACCTCCATGAATATGACTTTAAATAATGCACTCTGAGTTTACTTTTTTCACAGAACTCTGAGTTTCCTTTTCTGCAGAAGTTATTCTTTTGTCCTAAAGATACTGTTATCAGCGAGTCCATTTGTGGATGTCAGAAATGCAATACGTCAGAAGCTACTTTTCTTGTACTGCCGGCTCTCTTATTTTTGATGTTGCAAGTAAAGTATCCATTATTTTAGTCATTTACCCGAAAAAGTGCATCACAAAGCACTTTCTACTACGACAGCAGAATAAGTTCTGTTTATTCAGTGTTTCCTTTATTGACAACAGAAAGAAACAATGTTGACATCTGCTACATTATAATTCTTGTGCTGGTGTGTTACAGATGGCTTGCTGTTTATTTTATAAGCCACTGTCCTCTGGCTTTTCTTCTGTCAATTAAGTTTTCCTTTCAGCGGGGAAAACCAACTTTCGGACATTTCGTGCTTTCATCTCATGCTCAACTTTTCAAACCCTTTACGGGATTAATTTAGTTACCTGAAAAAAGTGAATAATTTATTCGCCGAGTACCAGAAAAAAACACTGAACTATCTGCCATTTCATTTTATACTTAAATGCTTTCTTTTTGAGTTGAAATAAATTAAGAAGAATGAAAATAAATGTTTAAATATACGTTGTTTGAATAAAATTTTGCAATTAACAAAAGTACTTTTGATATGATTTGCTACATTAATTTGAAGATATGTTATAATAACAAATGTGATAGTAACTATTTGGTACTTATGTACTATTATTCCGTTGACCTTTGGCGGAAATTTCAGAAACAGTCACCAATCGTTATTTCGGAATTCTATATCTTCATCCAGAATTGGCGCTAAATGGCGCTATTTGGCGGGTCGATGGAATAATGCGTTAGTGCATGTTTTTTTTTTTTTTTTTTAAATTAAGATTGCTCACACTATTTTAAGTATTTTTATTCAATTCTTTTTTAATGATAGCTATGCCGTTTTCACAAAGTGAAAAGCCTTATTTTTAAAATATTGAGGCCAAGTTTCTTAAATACTACAAAGGCTTTGCATTAAAGCTATATTCTCTAGATTAGTGGTTCTTAACGATCTTGCCCCATGTCCTTCCCTTTCATGATTGCTACATGATCATTTTCTCTCCCCTTCCTTTCCAATCCTCCAAAAATTTATATACATGTATTTAAATATAGATTATTTTTTAATATGTTCTATAAATTGAACAAAAAGGTATAGAAAATATTGATAAATAACAAACTTGAATAGATGTAGTTTTTTATATTTATAATCTAAAGCTAAATAATTAATAAGTAAATAGCAAGCTGACCACATTCCTACCTAAAATTATGAAATTCGTCCCAGGGGGGGGATTCACCCTGGTTGAGAAAAACCTGCTCTAGACTAATGTGTGAAAATTTTTAGGTTCATCTATGACTAAAAAACACCAAAAAATTTTTCAAAGCTTTTCATATAAGATAAATAATAGTGTTTATATATTAAAGTATTTTAAATCAAATATGTTGTTTAGCATTAGCTATTATGTATGAATTTAGCTATTTAGTATTTCATTTTTTAAAATACATTACTTCTTAAAAATATATTAAATACATATTCAAATTCATTTGCGTCAACCCCTTGTGATTCCGAACAAAATCAGTCCCATTTTGACTCGTTCATTTGTCCATTTTGACTCGCGATTTCCAGTGAATTTTTTCCTTTTACCCTTTTATTCTGAATGCAAAATGATTAGATTTTTACCAATTTCAGATGTTTAGAATGACAAATATATATTTGGGACTGAAAGAGTTAAAGATTCTTAAAACAGACCATTCATTTATGGCTGCATTCTTCTGACACTAGTTCGTACGGGGTTCGTAGATTTGGAGTGAATAACGACGACACTTGATGAAGTATCGAAGCACACTTTTATTTGCCAGTATTAATCAGATAGCTCCAAAATCACTTTTACTGTCGTCGAACTGTTGTAAACAAGGTGACACGTTCAGAGACACAGCCTTCACACTGTCAGGCAATAACGGTGGTGACAGCTTCACCGCAAAGCACCCGAGTACAGCTCCCAACTCTGATCGTTCTCGGAACTCCACGTACTCTCAAGACTCATGCGATGCACTCGACCATGCGATGCACTCGACGATACACAAAAGTATAGCTCTCTACTCAGTACAGTCTAAGACAAAATTCGACGATGCACTAAAAGACTCTCTCGATGCACTCGACGAGCAACTCGGCGCTAGACTTCGAGACACTCGCTCAATGCCTGACTATCAGCTCGCTAGACGAGGCATTTACACTAACTGACTGCGGACCAGCAGGGTTTATATAGCTTTCGGCTTGTGTTCAAGAACATTCTAGGCTAAACTAATAAGAAATCGTTCCAGAAGGTTCTCCATCCGTTCATGGTATATCGCCAAATGTCGCCAAATGGGCGATTTCTCGCCAAATGTGGCAATCCTGAATTCTTTTGCCATTTTATAGCAACCCTAAAACTGCTTTGTGTGGAACATCCTTCAAGCGCATGAAAGCACTAAACTCCAAGTTTAGGGTACACTTCTTTATAGAATGAAAGCGCTTTCTAACTTTGTTCTCCAGTATACCTCAAAAAGGTTGAATAACATTGAGATTAGGGATAAGTGTGGGACATGGAAGATTCTTATGCTCACTTTCACGTTCAAATTTGTCGACAATTTTCAGTTGTTGTGAAATAGCACATTTCCTTCTTAGCCCTTGCTTCCGTATATAATTAGATGGATTTGGTCCATTAGCATGCACTGAAAATCCTTGATAGTGATATAAACACCAAGGATAATATATGCTCCTACAGAATTCCAACATACTGAGGCCCAAACCGTGACCCAATCCAGGAATAAGGTGGGGATAGTCCGGATGCAAAAGGAGCTTTCCATACATAAATTATCCAATGGTGGGGAAATTTGTTTGGTGGATTCGTTGTTTTACAATACACATTTTGCATTACGTACTGTCCTCGTGCTCCTCCTGGCAAGCCCAAGTTCGATTTATGGCTTTTCTAGAAAGTGCACAAGTGCACAAGCTGGTTTGAAATTTGAAGTGCTCTGTTAGATAAGCATTCGATCCCTGTATTTTCTCATATTAAGTTTAGAGTTGAAATGTAAGCAGAATATATTATTGTTTCTTGCAAAATTCCAATTCTCAATGGGACGTTAAAAGAATATATTCATGTGTCAATTACATAATATCAATGAAATAATTTGAGTGTCATGCCAGTACTGCTTGATAAGTTCATTTTAATACATTACGCATTCACTTTGCAGATGTAATCAATGTCTAAATATTTCTCATCAGAATAAGAAAAGTTACACAGTTAAATATTTTTTCCAAAATATAATAAAAAATAACTAATTTTTAATCAATAACCCTATTAGTAACACAAGAACCTTGAATTTGATTTAAATCTACGTCAAACTCAAGGTTTTCTGTGTCGGGGTGTTTCTCTTCGGCTTTCAACAACCAAATTATCGTGCTTAGCATTTTTATTGCAAAAGTATATATTCTCCATGAAAACTGATGTTAAATTCATTCTCTTAAAACACTGAAAAAATTTCTTAAAATACACTGTGTTTATATTAACAAATATTAAATGGTATTCTTTTCTCAGTTTGTTGTCATCTTTTTTTATTAATTATTTTTATTTAATTATCAACCATGACGACGGTAGAATTTATGATAAACCAAAGGAAATAAAAGCATCTGAAAGGTTGTCACATCAGAAAATTTTTATGTATTCTTCGAATACTATAAATACACTTTGTTGCTATTTTAGTTTGCAATCTTCTGATAAAAACTACAAATGTGACAAATATAGATCTGAGTGGGATGTCACTTGAGTTCAGGTTGGTCATAACTTTTGCTGATGAAATTCCGTCATTCTTGAAAACATCTTCATGTGAACTGCACGTGTTTAGTTCGCGCGTTTTCAGAAGCTCTATTGGTGTCTGTCAGATATTTCAGCATTTCGTCATGTGATTCAAGCCATCTGTTTAGCTTAAACCTAGTTAAATGTACAATCAGCTTTTTTTTTTTTTTTTTCCTGCTTTTAAGGTCGTTCATAAAAATTCATAATAGGATTTTATTTATTTAAATTATTTAGCATAAAGATAATATTGAAAATGGTTTTTCGAAATGAGTTACGAATAGTAGAGTTTTAATTTAAGTCCCAGGATTTCTTCATTATCACTGAAGTTATAATTTTTGCTGAGATTCCAAAGCCCTTATTCAAATAATTATAGTACCCCAAAATCAAGTACGTAACATAAAGTATTTTCTGAGTTTGGGGTCATAATTTAGTAATGAAAATTATTTCTACAGATAAACGCAATAGCCGTAAATGCATAAAAAGAAAAAAAGGGAAAAAATAAGTAGAAGAAGAAGGAATGAAAACTAGTAGCATATTATTTGGAAAATCCAAATGAAAAAAAAAAATCTCAGTTAACCCATATTGCTGAAAATACGCTTAAAATTTAATTTATAATCAATAACAGTACAAGTTCTGGCAATAAATTAATAAAATTATTGCTAGAAAATTCTATATTATTAGTGTTGCCCCGGACATACCAGTAACGGTCGCAGTGCTTTCTTTCATCTTTCTATACTGGTTAATCATCAAAAACGTCATAAAATTTAATAAGTATTACTTTCATAATAGAGTCCAAAAACAGTGTTTCTTTAAATATATATATAGAATGATGCATACATCCACTGTAATGAAGCGAGCTTAAAAGTGTTGATGGCGTAAAAATATTGATGGCATAGATGGTAGAATGTTGTATCCGTAATGAAAGCAACAATTTTGATTGGATAAAATGTTGATCCATAATGAATAGGAAACAAGCAGCCGAGGTAGATTAAATCTTTATTTTTATTTCAGGGAACATGTTGCGGCTACAAGCAACTTGGCACACTACTTGTGCTCATTTCAAAATATTTACATTTTTGATAGCTTTGCAGTAAGAAAAGAGCAGCAGACAGCAGTCCAGCAAGACCGAAGTGTAGAAAGCAAGTGCAATTGTGCTCAGAATTAAATGAGTTCAAAAGGAGTTAGGTTTTTCTTCAATGTATTTGATTACGTAATAAATATTGCTGCAAAATTATTATTGAGTGTTTGAGTTTCAGTTTCATTTACGTCACCAACGTTATGTAAGAGTCATATGATATGGCTTAGTGTCAAAATGACACAGTGGAAAAGAAAAGATTACTGTTTTCAGAACAGAGAGCGAGAATTTCAAAGATAAAAAAATCACTAATAAATTACTAACTTAATTAGCAATAGCCTTTCAAATTTCTTCTTTAGATTTAATTACGTACCCTTCTAAAATCCGACATCTGCAGTGCATTCCGCAATATCGAGAATTCTTGACCAATCCCTGCTTAGATTCTAGATAAAGACTTTTTTGCATCCCTATAAACAGCCGGGCTCTTACTGTTTTTTTTTTTTTTTTTCTTCCAGTTCCTGCTTCACTAACATGCAATAGTCGTCTGTTGACATGGTCTATTGTTTCAAAATGTAATACGTTGCATAACTATTGCATTATCGCGTTGCTCCAGCTCAGCAGATATGCATTTCTAAAGCCACATTTTACAGAAAATAAATTATGATTGTTTGGAAAAAAAAAAATGTTGTGATTCTAAAAACGCTCGCCTATAAAAAACTAAACTCAGTGGCGTAACAGCCTTAATGGGCCAAGGCCTGCAGTGCCTGAAATCTGCTTTCTTGACCGTGGGCCCCGGGGTGCGTAAGGCCCTGAACAAGTGGTCAGCTTGTCGCAGGACCACCAGTGTTTAGTTTGCAAGCGAACTTGGTACTCATTTTATCGACCCAAGTGATGGAAAATCAAGAGATAAAAGGTTGAGTCGACCTTGCCCAGCCCGGGGATCGAACCCCGGACCTGTGGTGGTGTGGCGCGATGCGCCAGCCTCTGCGCCACCGGGCCAGTCATCTACGTCGCGGCATAATTGTGACGAGTAATCACCCATCATCACCCAGTTAACTGCAAGATAGCTGATGCCCTCTCTTTCACCAGAGAAAATGTTTTCTTTCTTCATTAATAAACAGAGCCCGTTACTCTTGAATTATATTAAACAACCGGAGATATCGCCCAGAAACTGAAAGTCCGACTTGCTTAGTAATAGCAAATAGCATAAAACAGCTTGAAATGCATGAGTAATGGACGAGCACTCCGATAGGAAAACGATTCTGTTCTTTTTGAGCAGAAGCAAGCAGACAAGCTTCTCGAGACGTGTTATGAGTACTGATGGAAAGTGGATCTACTGTTAACATCGCAGAAGGCTGGAGATAAAGATAGCTTCATGAGGTATTTATTCCCAATACACTTTTGACAACCAGATAAGATAACGTCTGCCATATGGTTGCTAATATCATTTACTGTTTATTTTTTCCAGTCAGACCTTGACAGAAGATGAGTCTTGTAAAGATATGTCATAAATATATTCAAATCTGCTCATTACGCAGATATTCAATCAGTTTTAGACAGCAAGAAGCCAGCTTTTGAACTTCCTGCTCCTGCTGCTTCCTGCTTTGGACTTTGTAGGCTTTGGATTTCTACTGCAAGACACGATTCCATATCGCATCGAGAACTGCGCAACAGATATACCTTTTTGAATACAGTGAATATTTTTGAATACAGATATACCTTTTTGAAATTTTCTTTTTGAATACAGAACTGTGCCTCCTGCTCTTTATTCCTCGAATCCTTTGTCAAAGTTATCATTTTTATGTACTTAGAAACCTTTATATCGAAGAAATGCTTTACAAATTAAGTACATAGAAGATTTTATCGTTTCAGAAGACATTAAAGCTTTTGAACGCAGGGCTAACAGTCTAGCTATTTTGTAGTAGTGTATTAATGTTGTTGATATTATTTTGATTAATTAAATAAATGATGTTTTCTTTTTGGAACATCCATGAATTCGGCCTTTTTGTTGACAACAATCTATTCATATATATTTCTTCTCTTTTTATTAATTTTAGGTTGTACAGTCATTTAGTGGGTGGTTTCTTTTCTAACAGGAGACATGAAATTTGTGCAATGCTCTCACCGGGATTCGAACCTGAACCTCTCAAATCCGCGTCGAGTACGCTTCCAATTACACCACCAAACCATGCGGAAAGGCGGAAGAAAATACCTTACATTCTCCGGAGATTTGCTTTTGGCTTGTTTTTTGGAGCTACGAACGACTCTGCGTGACTCAGATGCTCTGGGAAAAAGTCCACCGACACATGGCATTATGTGCTTTAATTAACCTAATATACTCCCCTTCTAAAGGGCGACTGGGGATTAGGGGACCCTTATCGCCAAATCCTGGTGGTGACGAATTATCGTCCACCATCTTTCAGTTTGGATGCCAGTTGTAGAATCATTAGTTTATACATATATATATATATATACTGGTGATGGGAAAAATGTGCAGTGCCCTCACTCGAACCCTGTACCTCTAGAATACGTGCCGAATTTGCTTCCAGTTACACTATGAAGACATGCGGCAAGGAGAGAGAAAATACCTTATAAGGTTTTTGTACTTTTTTAATGTTTTTCAATGTTTTATATATTTGAGTTCATAAAAATTTAATTAATATTCCTTTATAAGTGTCTTTACATTTTTATTTTAGAAATTACTCCCTAATTACGTTCTGGAATTTTACTGCACAAAGTTTTAAGTCAAGAATAGCTTTAATACTGAGATTCTGATAAGCTGCATGCGTAATTTCTTTCTTTCCCCCCCCCGTAGTTGGAACCATTATAAAAATCATCTGAATACATTAGAAAAATTGTGTATTTATTTATTAATTTTTATTATTTAATTCAGAACATTTCGCTATCTTAGTTTCAATACATGCTTATTTATGACTTTGAATTCTAAAATATTTGATAATTGTCAAACAAGTTACAGGCACAGTTCGTAGCCTCTATTTTTTTCCACAGTTTTTTGTGTAGGAGACGTTTTATCTAAACTTCAAACGTAAATAAATATATTTGTTGCCATTTCGATCTGCAATCATCTGATAAAATCACGAATATGGCACTATTGGACCACTTCCATGACGTCATTGGGTTCATGTTGGTCAAAAACTTTGCTGACGAAATTACTTCATTCATAAAATCATCTTTCTACACGAGTGGCTCACGTGCTGAGTTTCGCGCGCTGTGTTGATGTCTGTCTGATATTTCAAGATTTCGTCATGTGATTTAAGACAGCTGTCCAAAGACATATCTCACAAAGGAATGACTTCGCAAAATGCAAAGAATGTTGCAGCTTGTTATGTCACAGGTATACAGTAAACATCGCCATTAAACTTGGAAAGGATTTTGAGGAAAACACATAAAAAAACTCTCATTTCTTCTTATTAAAGCAAAATATTTGCTTACGCTTTTCTTCATCTGGTTTTCCATACTGGCTATGTTTAACTCGCATTCCACAACACCAGCCTCTCTATTTTTCTCATTTTACTCCGGTTTGCTTCAGAAGATTCATTAAGTTTTTCTCGACATTTTTATGTATAAAAATTATTGTTATGACGACATATGCAATTTTTTCCCTTAATCTTTCCTCCAGAAAGTACCTTTTGGTCAGTCATGAACGAAATATTTTCTTCTTCAAAATGAAGCACTTGCAATTTTGCGACGCTAGAGTTGCCAGAAATTTTTTGTCTTTGCAACAGTAAAAATAAAGTCAGAATTCGAAAGACAGTTTGTTTTCAACTCAGAATACGACCAATTATCACATAAATAAGGTTCAAGAGAACTGTACGTTTATTCCGGTTCTATTCTTAGCAGGTGAATGGGCTTCTGTGTCAGATTTTCTTAGATTTTTCTGTGTCCGACGGAAATACGAACCAGTTTTTTTAAATAAGTCCTCTATGGAATGATCCTTTCCATTTGGCATACAGCTTTCGCATGCGCTTTCGGAATTAATAAATCATAAATCCCAAACCTCGGAATTGTTTAGATGTGACAAATAATCATACATATTCAAGAAATGCACATAGCACCACTTCTGCCATATTGTTATGAAATGTACAGGCGCGGTAAGATGGCTTCCCCGCAAAGAAGTTTTAAGGTTGCCATAAAATAACAAAGAAGGCAGGGTGGCCATATTTGGCGAGAAATCGCCCATCTGGCGAAAAAGTTGGCGATATGCTATGGACGGATGGAGATACTTCTGGAACGAATTCTTACCATTTTAGCCCAGAATGTTCTCGAACACACGCCGAAAGCTATATAAATCCTGCTGGTCCGCAGTCAGAGAGAGTGCCTTGCATAGCATGCTAGATAGTTAGTCAGTCCGCGCGGAGTCGATCGAGTTGACAGCCGGGCAGCGAGTGCCTAGCGGGTCGTCGAGTGCATCGAAGAGTCTCTTAGTGTATCGCGGTTAGTGCATCGTCGAGAGAATGTGTTAAGCTCCGGGAACGACTGAACCGAAGATTCGGGAGCTGTGGTCTGTGTGTCGTCGAGTGCATCGCGAGTTGTAGCGTGGGGAGTCTCGAGAGTACGTGGAGCTCCGAGAACTACCAAGCAGAGTCGGGAGCTGTACTCTGGTGCTTTGCAGTGAAGCTGTCTCCACCGTTATAGCCTGATAACCTGAAGGCTGTGTCGCTGATTCTTCCAGTGAGTGTATAGTAGATCTTCGACGACTGTAAAACGTGACTTTGGAGCTGTCCTGATTAATATTGGCTAAATAAAGTGTGTTTCGATACGTCATCAAGTGTCATCGTTTTTCACTCCAAATCCTCACGAACCCCGTACGAACGTAGTGTCAGAAAAAAAAAACGTAACAGTATCCTTGTCTACCAACCACAGGTGTTAACGCCATGATCGGTAAGATATTCTGTCTTGTATCATCAGCTGAAACAAGAACAGCAAATGAATTTAGTGTAATTTTCTTAATTCTATTATAAGATTCAAACAATGCTACAAGAAAGAAATGTTCTAAATAAACAAACAAAATGCAGTTTTCTTGATTCTATTACAAGATTCAAACAATGTTGAAAGCAGTGTTCCAACGAAATGAATTCAGTGTATAATTTTCTTGATATTCAAACAATGCTGCAAGCAAGAAATCTTCCAAAGAAACAAAT